ATGAAGATCTTTTCCCCGATGGACGACGATTTTTTGAACAAAAATTACCACAATTGAACGGTGTTATACCAGTCATTGTGCATAATAACTGGATTATCGGACTAGATGAGAGATGGAAACGGTTTCAATCATGGAATTTATTGTGTGATGACGCAACACCCACTAATGATGAGCTGAAATTTCATAAAAACTTATTTAAAAACTTTCGTTTACGAATTAAAATTATAACTTATAACAGATTTCAAAGTTTAAAACGTTTATTGGCCAGTTTATTGACAGCATACTATTTCAACGATCAAGTTGATTTAGATATATGGATTGATCATCCATTACAAGACGCTACAACTGAAACGCGGAAAGAACGGTTATTGATCGTTCAATATTTGTCGAATAAGAAGCAGTTTCGGTGGCCTCACGGATCTTTATTAGTCTATCAACAGAAATCACATATGGAACTCTTTGGACAATGGACTCAATCAACCAGAACAAAAACAGACGAATATGAAATTCTACTTGTTTTAGAGGATGATATAACTGTTAGTAGATATTTTTATGTATTTATCAAAAAGGCACTACAGTATTATTACTACAATCGCACAAATTACGATCCACTTGTGTACGGGTTTTCATTACAAAATCAAGATACAATATTAGGACAAACAGTAGCAACAAAAACACGATCAGGAGATATACAAACAATCCTGAGGGATGATTATGGCAGTCCGCTCTTTTATAAATACCAATTATTAGGTAAGTAAACTGTTACAATCTTTTCATAACATCATCTGATTGACGAACACAACTTGAATACATCCACATTCGAACTATCATTCATAGAACAAAATACTTCGAATTAAATAAATGGAACCAAGCTATACCTACCGACTTTCTCAATTCTGGTCATTTCTACAGCAAAATTTCGCATTTTTTTGACAGAAACAGCTTTCCTCTAAAATGGTGACTATTTCTTGATTTCTGTCTTTAGTCCTAGTCAACGATATATTATAACCCAGAGTTGAGTTTCTTAGAGTGCATTGCTCTTTGCTTTCTGTTGTGCGCGGAATCCCAGTCACTCAACGTAAAGACCAGACGTGTTTTTGCGTATATCCTTATTTTAATTAACATGTAATTAATTATTACTGAACACCGCGCACTGTCCTGCAATAGGAGTAATATATTTCATTGCTTGAAAGGAGGATAGTCTTATTAATAGCTATGGAACCTTCTTTTCTGTCTGCTAGTAAATATCAGCTACATAGAATTATGCCGTTGGTCATGGGCGATTCTTTCTTGCACATGTATTTGAGCTGAGATCGACTTCGTTAGTAGTCAATTTTTTCGAATTGTATTATGCGGCGATTTCTATATGTCTCTATGTACTAGTGATTGTTTTAAGTAACGGTTGATGATAGGAGTGATGTTTTCATGTGATTTTTGAGTTAACGTTTTTGTCGACTTCGATCCGATTTTCGCCGATTTTGAACCCAGCTCTACGGATATAGAGTTGTACTCTATGTACGTGTTGCCGATGAGAGTCGGAGACGACTTGATCGTGAGGTGAGTTCTATGTACGGGTATTGGATGTCGATAGTTTGTAACGTAATTTCTATATATTTTAGCTAAAGTCCACGGCCATTTGACTTTCCATTAGCTAGGAATCGATGTTCTTAAAACTATCAGTCAGAAGTCACGCTGTTAATCTATCTGTGTACATTAGTATTTCCGATCACAAATGTATTCAACAGGAGCGATCGCTTGTGTGAGTCTTTATATACTGTCAGATATCAGGTATATATACTCCAGCGCATCTGAGTGCTCTTCAGGTGCAGAAATTCTCTTCTGGTGTACGTATTCACTCTAAGCGGCAATTTCTAAAGTCTAAAAACTAGGTGATTTTGTATAAAGAATTCGAAATCGCATTTAGAAAATATTATTTCTAAAACTTTATATCGGTTTATCTTAGCATTCCCGATTCCTACGTGGACTCCTTTGAGGCATAGAAGTCTACAATTCTGAAATAAATAGATTTCCTTGTGTAGTATTAATCCATCTGGAGTGTCGGAGTAATGTGTCCGGAATTCTTTGTGTCTCTAAATAATATTCACGAGCTAAAACATTTCTACTTTGTGTGCAAACAATGGTTTCTTCTCTTTTTTGAATAACGTTCTTGGATCCACGCTAAGATTGTACGCAAAGAGAAGAAACAACGAGGAATTATCGAATATTTAGTCACTGTTGTTTCCTGAACCCTTCACTCTTACTGAGATTTATGAACACGTTTTACGCTGCGCTCTTTTAATTAAAGTGCGTAAAATCTGAAGTATACCTTTAATCAGACCTACGAAAGAATTCCTAGATAGTAAACTTAGTCTTCCTCTTTGTTTTATTAGTTGCACTTACAGAATGTAGTTGTGACAATATCCTGACATTTGTACGCTATTTCCATTAATTTCGAGTGATTTATGAATTTGTTAATTTTCGTAAGAAGCCTCATATCTGAATGCGTATGAGAATACATAGTCTGACCCTGAAAGGTTGTGCTGTTGTAGGTGGACAGACATCGGCGATTACAAAAAATTAATCCAGAGGTGCCTCAAGGAAGGGTGCATCTTTGTATTGAATAGTATTCCATCGTGGATTGTTTCCGAACAAAAGTACTTGGGACTAATCCTCTCTAAGTATGTAAGCTGGCCTCACCATATACGAAGTGTCGAGAATGAATGTAAAAAAAACTAAAATATCAATCGTGAGGCTATAATTCCAATATCAGGTTGTAACAGACGATAGTTGATTAGAGATGCTTTCTGGACGCTTCGCGTGAATTTCCCAGTAAAAGAATTGGGTGCCCGAATAGAGTTTTAAGATGAATTCTAAGTTTCGATTTTCTGATAGAATTCATCGCTTGGAACTCTTTTTAGCTTATACTAGCAGTATTCTGGACAGAGGACTCATTTACCGGCATCGGTGCATGGAGACAAACGATTATACTATCCTCAGCATTATCCTAGCACAAAAGTACATTAAAGAAAGATTTCAAGCCGAATCAACTACGCTCGAGGCGGGGATCAGGAACTGTTTTAAAATACGTTACGTATGAAAATAAATACGAATCATATCGCTATTAGGAGCAACTTTTCATTAGGGCACACGTCCTTCAACAAATATACCCTAAATTGTATTACCACGGTATCGATACCAGTAGCGATTGCACCAGCTCTAGCTTTTAAAATTAGCCAAAACTAACTTTCGTTTTCTAAAATACGGCTAAATTATGTTCTGAAAGCGGTTGAGATTTCCTAGTGTCACAAAAACACTTTCAGGTGTATTAAAATCCCAAAGTAATTCAAGGTTTTTTAAATCACGGACTTTTCGCACTCAAAATTCCAAAAAGAGTTTCTGATAAAAGTAAAAAACATTTAAACAATTATGATTTAGTTCAAATGGTTGTACCGTTTTCTATGGAGAGTAGAACATATACAATCAAAGAATTCTGATGCATTTCGCAGCCTCTTCTGTCTTCTTTCATGAAATAGTTGCTCTTAAAAGTCGATCTTTTTGAGAATAGATCATAATAAGAGTACCAGAAAAGTAGAACAAAAGCTTTAGGAACGACAGTTCGACGCAAATGCATAATATCCTTCGTATTTAGTTTCGATTAACTGCATCTGTAAAAACGGCAGAACTATAAAACTGCTACATTTGATAATCGAAACTGATCATAACTGGCAAAAAAATTATGAGAGAGATAGAATATCGAAAAAGAAAATCCGTCTATTTTTGCTCAGGATATTGTGTCATGTTCTTTTATGGGTTTTCTGAATAAACTCTAGATTTCATTCAGTCACATTACGTCTCCTTGAAAAAATAGTCCCATTGAGCTCAACGTTTTACCAAAGATAGCGCAGACACCACCTCATGCTCCAGTTTTTTGAAAAAATAAATATGCTTTCCTTCGAAAAATGCTAAGCATCCTATGTAGAAAGTGTGCAAAAGTCGGTCTTTGATTTTAAAAGGCTTCTCAGGCCGAAAGTTCAACTTGAGGACGCTTAAAAAAAAATTTAGGATCTGATAGAGTATGAAGTATACTAAGAAGTATGGATCGAATTTACCATTTAAATATCAAGAAAAACAGCTGATTAAAGATCTTATCAAATAATTTTACTCTATTTCTTAACTCTTTGTTTGTTTTAACTCGCATGTTAGCATCTTCACAACACAAAACTTGGACACTACCACTAAACGATTTCTCAACAACTAACCACATCATAGTTTTCTCAACATCAAATCAAATCTCTGATGATGCAGTCTTAGCCATAACAATTTTTAGCTAAGGGAGCGCCCGCACACATGAACAGATAGTACTAAAATTAAAGCTCCGAAACTATCTGCGTCTGGTTTTTAGCTGATGGGCTGCCAGACAAGAGAAGAAGTGACATATTATGTTTAAAATGTTGTAAAATGTTGAGCTCGATGGGACTATTTTTTCAAGGAGACGTAATGTGACTGAATGAAATCTAGAGTTTATTCAGAAAATCCATAAAAGAACATGACACAATATCCTGAGCAAAAACAGATAGATTTTCTTTTTCGATATTCTATCTCTCTCATAAATTTTTTGCCAGTTATGATCAGTTTCGATTATCAAATGTACCAGTCTTAATTGTAGCAATTTTAACTGTGACAGTTTTTCACTGTGTTGTACACAGTTGCAGTTCTTTTTAACTGCAACTGGTGCATACCTACTCGCATCCATTCGCTGAAGCAGATAAACAGTGAAATTATACACAGCTGAATTAACGATAATTCCTTTTTAAACCTCGCTACTGTTTATCCTTTCAGCTTTCAAAACCCTTGAAAAAACTGATTTTTATGGTGTAACATACGACGAAACATCAGAGAAGTGTATCTAAGCGCACTAGTTGTCTTTTTCAGGTACTGGCATCGTATTTTTTCCGAAACACTGGTCACTATTTTTAAACTGGCTAAGAAAAGCCCGAAAAATGCAACAATCACCATGTGTACCAACATTAACGTCATCGAAATGGTGGTTAGAACGTGGATCGCATAGAACATGGACCCAGTGGTTTATGCGTTTTACATATGAGATGGGTTGGTATTCACTGTACACCAATTATCCACGACAAGAATCATTTGCTATAAATCATTGTGGATCTGGATTGAGTTTTAATATTACAGCAAGATTTATACCGAACTGCAGTTTGATCGGGAAGGTTATACCATCGATACATTACAATTTTTCAAGGGATTTGCACATTTTTGATTTTCATTTCAATCAAATTGATAAGCCGAAAATTTTGCAATATCGACAATATATATGGCATACAGCTCACTTTCATAATCAATGTCATACGATTTCTCATCCACCTAAAAGGAAAGTTCATAAGTACGTAGTGACATCAACAACAGAGAGAATGTATCACAGTTTCAGATCTATAATTAAAGTGGAAGAAAGTACAGATTTATTCATAAATCTGACTACTGACGTTTATATTGTTGTATTATTAATAATTTTACTAATTTGGACTCGACAACCTAAGAAGAAAATTAAGAAAAGAAGAAGGTTTTTACGAAATAAAACTAAACGGATCTGCTGCTGAACATACAATGTACGGCTTTAGCACCAAGTTACGCACTTAGTTTATCAATGGCATTCGACGCGCATAAATATCGTTCTCTTTCACTTGTCTTCTCTCATTTTGTAGAAAGAGAAGATCTAACGTATGCACAGAATGGAACAAATTTTCACTTTCTGTTCTCAATTTACGAAATCTAACCTACAATATAAAGCTGAACTAACGAGAAAATTTCCCTCGTAAGTTATATTCTATATAAGACATATCCATGAACACCTTCATATGAAGAAAGTAAACTAATCTTGAACTCGTAGACATGTGAGAGCAACTATTCTGCAATTAAAGTGTTGTGTACAGTAAAAGAAAGTGACCTCTTCGTGTTATAAACGTATATTAGTAACTGGAGCGCGTTTTTAGCGCATGCTGATCATTATACAATATAGATTAAGTGACATAGAGCCCACGTTAGTCTTAAAATGTCGGAAATAGATACAAGAACGACGTAAAAGAATCAATTTTTGATATTTAGCCTCGACATTTTTCTTCAAGCATTATAAGACGAATACTTAAAACCTGTGAAAAATATGTTTCACAGAAAGTGAGCATCGGCGCAAGTAAAGCCTGAATCCAGAATCCAACTCTGTTACGTCCTCATCAGGACGTTTGGCTTCAATTAAGATCAACGTAAGCTCTGCATCACTTAATCTGTCGTGAAAGCTCTGTAGAGTGTTCGACGCCCACAACAACGTCTGCTGAGATGTGATGTCGCAGTGTATAATGTAGATTCTAGTACTGTTAGTGAAGCAGATATAATTTTTATCAGAAAAACCGGGAGACGCCTCATTTTAATCAGAAATTTTTAATCTACGAAGTACCTTCATTTGCATCATTTCTGATTGTACATTTTCAGAATGTTTAAAAAGACAGTTGTTTAGGACTGTTTAAGCGAAAACTGAGAAAACTGTGAATAATATAAGTACTTCTAGAGTATGAAGTAGTGGAATTGACTTTGAAGTAGTAAGTCGGTCGTAAAAAGCAGCACACTAATTTTCTTCGGGCAAGAAAGCAACAAATACACGTTTTTTCTCTTTTATTTTCTTCTGCTATTATAAAAGAGAATTTATTTGAGTTGTTTCACCTTGTGTTTGCGAATATGTACAGCAGTTATGCGTTAACTGAAAGAAAGTAATAACCGGAAGAAATGAATAATGAAGCACAACTGGAAATTCCACAATAGTATATTGATCCATTTGACGAGCGTTATTAGGGGTGTTAATTTAGTTTTATTGTTCATTTATAATAATGGATAAAAGTAAATGAATCATTTATACTTAAAAAATAAAAATAAATTCGTCATTTATATATAAAAAATAAATGTAAATAAATGAAAAAAAAATTTATCTTTATTTTATAAACGTAAATGATTCAGTTATATTTATTTATTTATTTCTACCTATTGATTCATTTACATTTATTTTCCAAAGTAACACTAAATTAACACCCCTAGTTATTATTCAAGCGACGAAGAAGATGCAGAGAAATACATACCATCAAGTCAATTAACCTCAACAAATCCTAAAACACATGTTGAAAAGGGCGAACCGCTACAAATTCATCGACAAGGTCAACAAACAACGCACTGGTATTTAAATTCAATCAGACGTTATAACCGATCGTATGGTGGACCACTTGCATTTACAAAATTTAAAACTGGTCTGAATGTAACGGTTATCTGTTTCGTCAGCATTCATCAAATGACCATCAAATATTTTGACGAACCATAACCACAGGTTTATTCCCATTGTGATAATCAAGAATTTCAGATCGAGAATTGTGATATATACCAGTATGGCGAAAATATTGATTACAAACGACCATGTCCTTCACTAGTAATTGAACAAGGGCAAAAGATTTTGCTCTGTTTAATGATGGGAAAAATATCTATCAACAATTGTTAGCAGACCTTTGATGGGTATGATTATTTTGTTATTTCACAAGACGATAACCAATTTCAGCAAGTCCATATTGATAATGTGATACCAGTACATGAAAGTGGAGAACAATCATTAAAAGTTCAGCAACCATCAGAATCAACAATAACAAGCCATCAGTATTCCGTCCATCAGCAACAACAGCAACAACAAGACTGCGAGTCGTGTTATCGCATGCGATCGACGGTTGATGCTAAACAACAATCAACATCGAACAACATTTGAATCATTAGGTAAAAAATTAATGATACAACAGCAATTAGAGCTGAACCGTTTGGAATTAAAATTCGAACGCGTTGAAAATAGAATGAAATTGCGACGCAAACTGGAGCTGGAACGTTTGAGAAGCGAAAATAATATAATGAAACAAATTATTCGATTACTGGTTCCATCAGCATCATTGTATGATGAAAAGCTTGATCGTAAATTGGTTGAAACACTCCAGTATCGTCCCAAACGAAATAACACAGAACAAGAAGTGCCATCATTGATTAGAATCCACTATCCAACATCAGGTGGGGATGGCTCACGGTATGATGAAAAGCTCATTGATACAGTTGGCCATTCCAGCATGCAGAAGTGGAAAACAAAACTGAAAACGATGTGAAAATTTGTTTGCTCGTTATTCACATAGCTCATGGTCATCATGCTATCACCGGCCTTATGTGTTGGCAGTCATCAACCAATAAATGATACTGGTCCTCACATTAATTTAATATTAAGGGGTGTTGGTTTAGGTGGTAAAAGATTCTTCGAACAATGGAAACATAAATGAAAATTGACACGCTCGGACAAAACTGGTTATTCATCCATTGAAAATGAATTGCGATCGTTACTATTCGATCCCCATCAACATAATACAACTCGTGTTTCTCAATGAATATGGTCCGGTTACTTGGCATGTGTGCATTCTGTTGGGTGATGTGTGCAAATTATTACCAAACTTGCATACAACATCTACAGCAATCACCGACACTCGGCTCAATGACTGACTCTGCTCATGTAAAAATCACACATCCAACGCCGTCAACCACATTTAAACAATTATTTTCATTTAATTATCAATCGGGTGCGTTTTCACCTAATCTTATTATTGTAAATGTTAATTTACTGTACGTTAATACACAATTATTTAGACAGTTTGGAGCTGGTACTATAATGCAGATGGATTTAGATGGACAAAATGCAAAGATTATTTGTGTATTTGGTTATAATCCAGAGAGGCCTTATTCTTTAGAATTCGGGTGTGCTCCATGAGGACAACTTGTTTTGGTGAAACAACAACAATACATATATGGTACAGCAATGGGAGGAGCAAACTGTCCAAGTACAATCTATGGTATCCTATTAAATACGAGTCAAATTGAACTTGTTACAACATTTAATGAAACAACAGAAAGGGCAGCACCATTGGACGGTTTAATTCAAAATTCTGAATCGTCTGTACGGCGTTACGTCTAAGGGTCTGATTAGGAAATTCTTCTTCTTAAAGTTTCAAAACATTGTTTTAACATCGAAAACGCGAAAAAGTGATCAAACTTTAAAAAAATTAAAAATTTCGCCCAGCTTTTTCTTCTAGACTTTATAAACTATGGTTTTTCGATCCAGCATTGAAAACTGCACAAAATATAGCATTTGGTCAATTTCAGAGTCAAAAGTTTGTCCATGAGAGACGTTCTAATCTACAATCCGTCAAATTCGGACATGTCATTTTGTAAATCTATCTGTTTTTTTGTGTTAAAGGCTGAAACCGCCATTTGAACGCTGCTATATTCACTGAAAGTCCAGCTTTAACCCTAGGCGCCTGGCTTCAATTTATGACTTCGTAGCTGTCCAAGGGTCCGGTTGAACCCGTCGTAGGAAGAAACGGAAAAATTCAATTTTTTCTGCCTTTGGTTTATGGTTTTCATGCATGAATCGAAGGTTCTCATTACGCTATTGAAGCTGCTTATGATTTGGTCGATGAATATGTCATTATATGTATCGACGTATGCAACCATAAGAGATTGAAAGTATAGATTTTTCACAAGCTTGATAACACCAAAATCGTGAAATATAATTGGAAGAATCATATATTGGATTACTCCGGCACATGCTGATAAATGTGCATACGTATGTTAACATATCTGACCACTATAGCGGAGCATTTTGAATACAGAATTATTCTGTATTACAATAGAACAAAGACAAGAAAACAGGCTGACGTTGTATACTTCTCCGATGGAACTTTCGGTAAAAGTCATATTACTCTTAGGAAGAGGTTTTAGAGTCTAAAAAGTCATGCAGAGCTTTGAATGCTCTATTAAATGAGGCTATAAAATACGTGCGTTACTTTTTGGCCAGTCGACGCACTATCTTATGCATGTACAGGATGGGTTCTCTAAGAGCTTTTCTCATGAAACAGCATTCAATTTACGGAAAGCCCTGCGAGTATATTTTTGTTGTTATAATTGTCCCGATTTTAGCGTTACGGTATCTTCCGTAAATTGAATGCTCTTTCATGTGAAAAGCTCTTAGAGAGTTAGGAGGCGTCTCATTTTGTCCAAAAATCTTTGCTCTACTCGACTAAGCTAATGGGAAAAAGTTCAATTATATATGTATACAAGAAAGCTAATAAACAAGGAAGGAGTCAGGCTTTATTTTCACTCACCCTGCACTGTGTGCATCCAGGTGGACATTAGATGAAAAAATCAAAACCGACTTTTAAACGATTGAACTAGTGAACAATACACTTCAAGACATGCTCTATCCGATGCCATAAAAAATTTTGTTATAAAGTTCAAGAGGAGTGGAAAATCAGCTACTTAAAAACTAGTCTGAAAATAGCATCATTCGTAGAAAAATTAGTTTTACGTGAAAACGGAGACTCCAATAACTGAATGAGTTGTCAATTACAAATCTCCTCATCATTTAGCATACATTAGTAAAAACGATTTTGAGTTTGAATGAGAGATTGCTGAGCAAAAACATAAAAGTTTTTCGTGAGTGGTTTTTCGAACTGCTAGTTTGAGAAAAATTTGCGCGCCCTCCACAGCCCAGCTTCAAATTTGTCCAAATTTGTCTATTATGTCCGCGAAAGAAGTCCGAAAATGCAAATAGGGGAATTCTCAAAAAAATTTCGCTAAAATGTACTTCTAACAGGGGATGGACTTTAAGTACGTGGGGGTTACCGTTGGACTACTAGCAGGCGACAGAATTTGACCGCAATAGTCCACCCTTTAGAACTCGACTTGCGCGAGAAAATAGAAGGCCAGATGGTCTTTTATTACAGGGGGGACGGGGTAGAGCTAACAGTGGTCCTATCCAACTAAGACTCAGTCACTACAGCTGCCACGGGTATAGAAGTGTTCATCATGTGAACAAGCAAGCAAACTTCAATTGCAGCACACTTATTTGCGTTTAAGGACATCAGATTTGAGGTACACCAGTTACATGTTTTCTCAATATTCTCTTGACATACAGTTGATATATCAGACGAGGCCATTAGACAGTAGAGTGTACAGTCGTCAGCGAAAAGTATGCTATCTGCTGGTAATTTGACTACAGTTGGTAGTTCATTTATGAAGATAAGGAAAAGTAAAGCACCAAGAACTGAACCTTGCACTACTCCGAAGAGCACTGGCGTAGGCGTAGATAAGGCAGCGCCAACACGTACTTGCTGGAAGCGGTTAGTCAAATAACTAGTAAACCATTTCAGCACATTCGATGACAAACCTAACAGCGCTAAACGCGAAAGAATAATTTGAAACGGGACCTTATCAAAGGCCAAGATGGTATCTACCAAGATGGTATCTACTGGTGGTTGTGTATTTAAATTCTTTGTCAAATTATTTAGTAGGTAAAGAAGTGCACCAACGGTTGAGGTCTTAGGCCTAAAACCAAACTGGTTATTTGAAACAAAATTGTGTGAATTAAGATGGCTAGAAAGTTGATTATAAACAAATCTTTCGAGAATTTTATTAGCGATACTAAGGAGGGATATTGGCCTATAGTTAGACACAATATTTTTTAGGGCCCTTTTTATAGGTCGGGTTGACTGTAGCAACTTTCCATTTATCATGAAATTCTCCTATTTCAATGGATAATTTAAAATATGGTGCGGCTCTATAGAAATGATACTGACGTTTTTTTTAAACACAACCGCTGGGATTTCGTCTGGACCGCATGCAATATTTTCGCGTAGGCTATTGATAGCATCGGTTATTTGCTCAACAGTTGGATATACAAGGTTCAGTACTGATGTTGGGGCGAACTTTTATAGTGGAATAGGCATAGGTCCAGTTGTGGGAACGGTAACAGTGGAGAAATATTTGCTAAATAAGTCTGCCTTTTCCTGATCTGTTAAAGCTGTATCTGTACCGCTGGACAAGGTGGCAGGAAGACTTACACTACCTTGTCTTACTCGGTTTAAAGCTGTCCAAAATGTTGATGGAGAGGTAAAGGATTTTGCTAAACGGCTAAAAAATGCTCGTTTACCTTTGGTTAGCGCTTTCTTTGCGTCTTTCCTCCACCTTTGAAAATTTTCTTTCGCTTGCGTAGTATTCCTATACTTATACTTTTGGAATGCTCGGTTGCGCTTTCGAGCTGCGTGGTAATAACTTCGGCTTTGCATGAATAGTATAGGCTTAGGTTTTATTCCTTTCCAGTGCACACAATTATCTACACAATTTGCTACATGACTGGACCAAAGGTTTAGTGCTTCAGTACACGTTGCAGTGTCATAAAAGTCAGGATCAATGTTCGATAACTCGGACAATAAAGTAGCCCATTGGCATTTTCCATAATCACGACGTCATTGTAATGAACGAGTCCGTTCAATAAATAGGTCTTTGAATACGGTTTTGAGAACAAAATGGGGAGAACCACCTAGTGGTGGATAATCTCTGATAGATGGACTATCCCATTCATTCAGATAAAACATATTGTCAAGTTTCGTTTTATGTCGCGTCGTGAAAGTGGAAAATGAAGGAACTAATTGAAAACTTGATAGGGTGTTTAAGAGTGTTTTATGTACGTTTACGTTGTTTTCAGGATCGGCGTTAAAGTCACCAGTGAGTATTAGGTAAGAAGAGGGTGTAACGTTGGCTAAGAGAAAAAATTCTAACATCTCAAAGTATTTCTCACACTTAAAAGTGGTAATTGATGGTTTTCTATAGAAGCTACAAATGAAAATGTCCTTTTTTAATTAAGACTGACTCCGTGTTTTTACAAGAGACGATAAACTGATGTGGGATGGTGTTTAGAATTGAATGCTGTTTCATGAGAAAAGCTTTTAGAGAACTCGGTCGCGTCTCATTTTGTCTAGCAACCATAACATTTGCGATATTCTGTTCAACAGTAATGAGACTGTTGGCAATGGAAAGTCGAATACTCTCAGAAGTGATGGTGGCTTTCCACTTCTGTCCGCTAATATCCAACGGTGTTTGCGCCGTGATGAAAGTTTGATGAAAAGGTGGAATTCTTTTTTTATGAACAGCGTAGACGAGTATGTCCAAGCTACCGGCCTGCTGAAGATCAGTAGCTAGCAAAAATTTAGACAACGGTTTATCTCTCAACCAGCACTTTTCATTGTGTACATCTAAAACTAAACCTATTTCGAACATGAAATCGGTTCCTAACAAGCCTCTCTGATTGAATTTGCAAGCTAAAACAACTGGATGTCTAAAAGTTTGTCCTGCTAAAGTAATACCACCTTCGACCCAGCCGACTGGTTCAATAGAACTGCCTTCTGGACCTACAATAGCAACTCCCGAATAAGGAAAAACAGCTTTAGTTCCTTTTAAAAGCCGCCAGAAATGACTTCCAAAATTCGTGTAAGATTCTTACTCGATTCTTATCTGTTGTTGATGTTTTTCTTTAAAATGGCACTTCTCAGTCTAGTAGCTTTGTATTATGATTAGACACTTACTTCTATGCACAAAAAAGAAAAAAAAATGGAGTATGTAAAATACAATGAAGGATAAAACGTTGGAGCTTAAAAATAAAGTACGTATCACAGTTATAACTGGCTTTTTCAATTTGTTAAACCATGAAAAAGGTCACAGAAAATTTCGTATTCTATCTGTTTTGCGGATTTTTAAAAGTTTTGGTCGGAGACGGTTTTCTAGAAATCCGCTTCCGCAAAAAAATCCTCTGAAAGATCTCTAGAAATCATGAAAATGTTTCCAACAAATTTTTACTCAAGAAACCAAATTTTGATAGATTTACATTTAAAAACGACGGTTTTATTTAGAAAAGTTCGTCAGATCGATGCCACGTCTGAGCGCGCTGACAAAACTATATCCATTTTATTATATTCAATGAGGGTTACCTATACGGGAAGCAAATAGTCATAGATAATGTTTGACCTGTATGAACACATTAGTTTGAAAAGATGTACTATAGCTCATTTTCAAGCCTGTTTAACTACATATGTTTTCGTATACAAGCTTCTATTAAGAACATCGAACAGAAAAATGAATAAATACAATCGAACAGGCTTTTCGGACCGTTGCTCATAAATGATTAATAATTTCAGCATATTGTAGTCTACAATCAAATGCGTAGAAATATTAAAAACCAAATACACGGTTCCTGACCAGTTCCAGTCGTTATCTTCTCAAAAATATAGCGCCATTTCCTTGCAGAAACCGTCCGCTGTCTCTTCTGCAAATTCATGTTTTTTGGGTACATCACCAACCCCCAATAGAATTATTTCTTCCTAGTCTTTTAACGAAATACTTTCAGAAAGTTTCATCGAATCTAAAACTTTGTCGTCATTTGAACATTCTGCTGATCGAAAACAACAAGTTAACAATTTTGTTTTGTTAGGACGAACACTTTCAATATCAACTGTTTTTCCCAATTTAAAATCTCTACATGCAAAACGCATAACTCTGCTACCCGAATCTCTGTGCGTTACCGTTTTTTCTCTTTTCGTCTATCCTATAATATTCGGAAAGAATATCGTAGAATCCTGAAAAGCGTCTTGTTTTGTAGAATGAAGTGCGTTCTTCAAAATCCACTACTAGCTCTATTCGAAATAATTGACGACTTTTCGGTTACAATCGAACTACTAAAAGCCCTAAAAACAAACGACAATCTTTTTGGGGCTTCGTATTTTAAGTATACCATAAAAAGTGTTAATTATTTTGAACTGAGCTAGTGGTGAATTTTGAAGAACGCACTTCATTCTACAAAACAAGACGCTTTTCAGGATTCTACGATATTCTTTTTGAATATTATGGGATAGACAAAAAGAGAAAAAACAGTAACGCACAGAGATTCGGGTAGCAGAGTTACGCGTTTTGCATGTCTACAGTTATTCAATATACGAGGCTCATGAACGTACTGAAAATAAAACTTCTTAACCTATCTGAGCTGTTCTCCTAACCCATCTTATCTCGCTGTCTTTATTTAAAATCAAACTGACACTAAAAAAGACGTTATGAGTACTTTAATTGCTCAAACACATATGATAGCCCAATTAACAGCATTAACCATCATTTGTGAAAGATACGGATCGCTGTTATTAGACCATGAAAATGTACCTCTGCTTCCGCTGTAATGACCAGCATGTGCCACATGAACAATACGTCCTTCTCCTAGATTCTCTCGTACAGCAACACCGATTTGATTTCGACCGCATTCTTGACACCTAGCTATCATCGTACCATTATTGATCAATTCACCAGTGTTAGCACTCATTCTGTGAACAGTTCTGAACGCATTTGGTAATCCGGTCCATATCGAATGCTTAGTTTCGGTGAGGTTAAATGTTAAAACAGATGAAACACCATTTCCTACTCGACTGAGAAGAACAAGTGAAGCTAGTATTTGCCATCTTTTATCAGAAACATGTAAAGCAGCCCATTCAGTCATAACCACACTTGTTCCTATCTTTTGTGCATTCACAATCGCCATCTGACCGGCCAATGGCATATCAGCATTGTACTTATTTCCAGTGATCAAAACAATAACATCAAATGTAGTTGGTTCAGGTGTACCTAAGTAAGTTAAGATGCCATTGTTAATGGTTCTTACAGTCATTCCGGAACTTCGTAATTGGGCAGCGAGTGCATCATTTGCAACTGTGTTATCGTCACTGAGAAGAAGAACAGTTTTTGTGCACATTGCTATCGCCGTTGGTGTCGAAGTTCTTGGAGTTGTACCTGCAAATGCGAAAAGGTTTCGATATTCATGTTGAAAAGTTTAATTGAAGCAACAAAACGAAAATACTGTTTCCTAACTTCAGCGTCTAATTATATTGAGACTTGTCCTCACATCATTCCCTCTCTCCTCTGTTGGATTCCTTTGTTAAAAATGGCTTTACGTAGAATTTTTTATCCAAAAGATAATGTTGTCGAAGAAAGAAAACGTTTAGATACTTGAAGCTGACATTAATTATACACTTACATTCTGTTTTACACTGTTCAACAGAGACATAGTATAGTTCAGTAATAAAAGAGGCGTAGTGTCTTTTAAAATATTCAGCAACTCGTCTGTTGTTGCAGATACAATAATCATCGATTTTTGATGCTAAAGGAACCTGGCATTTTCTCAAACATACCTAGCGAGCAATTTTAGCTAGGTGCGTGAACATATGCTGGAAAAGTGGTATGAAATTCTCTAAGCACTCTTTTTTATAGGTTTTTGTATGTGCTCTTTCCAACGACGTGGTTTTCAAACACCCAAAGTATATTTGTACTGGTATTTCAGAGATCTGGTCTATCGAAGACCAGATTGAACGTACTATGGAAGTGTAAAAATCATTCCTCTGGAAAAAGCATATACGAAAACTTATAAAAAGACTGCTCGGAGACTTTCGCACCACTTGTCTAGCACATATTCGCCTGCCTATGCTACACTTTTTAGTAATTATCCAACACTGAATGTTTTTCGCAGTTATTAGTCTCTTTTATACGAAAGAAGAACACTTCACTGTTTGATTTTCAGGAGAAAAGCCCAAACTTCGCTTCAAATATCACTCTTATCAGTGATTCATTTAAAAAAATATTTATTTTTTCTCTCTCTCAATCTTTCACCTTTATTTGCATGACCGATGATAAGTAGCTGTTCAAAACCAACAACAACATTAGTATCAATGAATTTTGTTCTACAACCACTTTTTCGTCGCGGAAAAGCAAGCTGTCGAAACCTGAACTGATCCTTACTACGTTCACACTCCTCGAGACTACCTTTCTTTCTGTAACTTTTCTCTCAATACATTTGAGAATATATATGTAGAACATTACCGAAACAATTCAGTGATAAACGCTCTAACGTATTTAAAGAAACAACAATTTCTCTATGCGTCACGCGAGTTTAATGCGCTTAAAGAAAGAAAATGATTTTTATATTTTAAATTCGACTTGTTTGTAAACTCGTGTGACTCGTAGAGAAATTGTGACTATGGCTTTGCCTTTTCTCTAAATACGTTAGAACGTTTATCACTGAATTGTTTTTCGATGATGTTCTACGTATATATATAAAAGGTACAAAAAGGCAGTCTCGAGAACTTGGCTGGAAGTAAGAGCTTTTCTGCAACGAAAAAGCGGTTATCAAGCAAAATTTATTTAGTTTAAACAACTCGAGTTTAGGTATTAAAAACGCCCGTATCAATTCAAACACCCTCTATTCCCGAATCTGTACATACATGATAAACGGAACAGTGAATTAAGAATATTGATACGATCAACAATAATCACAACGTTCACAACAAGGAAAATTACAATATGATTCATGTTTAACTTGTGACTAGAAAGATCATCGAATACTTGATTGCTATTATCTAAAACCAAACGGTTTTTTTACATATGACAATCTCATTATATGAAAGATTATTCATCGATTTTTCGATAATAGTACCACACGATGGTGTAATAATAACCTACGATGCAAAAGTAACTGAACAAATGTTTCTCCATTTTTCTTGTGGTAAAGCACGTTCCGAGAATATCAAAAACGATGAAAATTTTGGATATTTTTTCATTTTGATAATAACCACTTCAAACTGAAACATTAAACTTTGGTTTACTTACTAGTTTAGAAAACAGAATTTTCTCTGCTAGCTAGACGATCTTAGATTGGTTTTGCATTGTAAAAACCGATCAAACTTTTAATTTTACCAAAAGCCTGCTTTGTGAAAAATTGCGTTTTTCCCGAAATCCTTTTTGGGTAAAATAATGATGTTAAAAAAAACGCGAATAATTTCCGAGCAAAGTTCTACAATCTTATGCCGTAAAAATGTTTTAGTAATGTAGCACTTTTTTTGAGAAGCACTTTTTAAGATTGTTTTTCTGCAGGGTTCTGCAAAAGTTTTGTTCACATACAGCAGAAAGATGTTTTTCCATTGCACCTCGCAGGCGTTTTCACCGTGCTAACCTCTTAGAACGTTTTCCACCATATTAACGCTTGTTTTACAAAAGATATAACTTACGAGTTATTTGATTCTTTGTTGCCGGTGTTGGAGCTAAAAGGTGACATGCCTAATTAGCACCAATATAGATCACCCGATTCTAGTTTCCTTACCAATGTAAGCGTTTTCTTGCCGCCAATGGAATTGAAGTGAATCAATGAGATTACCCGATCGTCCACTAATATATTTTAATACGTGACCGTCAAATTTCTCAGTAGATGTAGTACCCGTAATGTTCGTTCCACACATCTGTCCACTCATCCTTCCGCTGTTCGTAGTAAACTGAATGCCAAGAATAACTTTCATTCCATAATGTGCACCAGTTTTCACTTGAACGATAGAGATCTCTTCGTTTTTGTTCAGTGTAAAAGTGTTTGTGTCACACAATGAAATAAATGTACCGCGATGTGTCGATGTCAAAGTTGGCGGATCCGAGTAGTACATCCGGATCGACTGTAGTAAACCTTCCTGACATTGAACGTTAATTTCGTATAGCCGATGACTGCTAATCAAAGCGACAGATTGGGTGACTGTATAAAATTGTACCCCTCCGAGTGGATTTCCAAACTTTTGTCCGTGTCGGACATCATTCTGAACTGTGAAAAAAAACTTTTTCTTTAACTATACAGATAGGACTATAAAAACATACAGTCTGCCTCAGCCTTTTTTCCATAAAGAGCTTGTATCGATTGTTGATCAATGGATGTTAGAACGTCAGATCGTTGTTTCAGCTGATAGGTCGGGAACATGATCGACTGTCTATTCTTTACATGTTCAAGACCTAACGCGTGACCTATTTCATGCATAGTGACAAGAAACAGATTGATTACCGTTTTTGATGTCGAATTATACCTATACAGCAAGGAAGAAATAGTAAGTAAAACGACCATAAAACACATTAACTCTACGTACAATTCTGTCCATGTGTCTTGGGAATCGAGATGGATTCTACCGTCAGTTGGCAGAAACGCGTGTGCTAATGTTTTCTCGTCAAATGGTGCACCATCGCCATGATCGCCTTCCACAAATTGCAGTACAATATCTGATAAACATGTGTTACAGACCATTTCAAACGTCAAAGGCGTGTATTTTGACCATTCGTTAAATGCATCCTGCACGATGCTAATCTGATTTGCATAACTTATTTGATGGAAATGGGCGTGCGATTCAAGGCGATAGGTGAGAGAGAGACGAGACCACGTTTTATTGCTGATTCTCTGCAATATGTTTTCATTTGGCTTATCCACCACTGAACATCGTGGCAGATTCATAATGGTCTGTGTTTCCTTATCAACAACACCGGTCATATTCAATCCAAAATAACGTTGAAATTCTATGAGCATCGACGCAAAGTTTTCACTACACTGAACAGGCAGTGAGGCATTGCATGAACTGTAACCAAATCGGTTCAGATAATCCAACGCATCATCTTCACTATCTACTGGTTTAGTCGCAGAAGGAAAGATAAGACCTGTGAGTATCGGTATGATTAAACTAATTCTTGTGATCATCATGTGCTAGAATAACAGAAATATAAGTGATGTTCGTCCGCGAGAAAGAGTTTATTAGGGTTCATTAGTCGAAACGATATCAGACTAGAAGCCAGCCATTCTTGAATATGGTTTATTGGTTTGGTATTGAAAAACCATATATTCGTCCGCGAATGAACATATTCATATACATGTGGGAGTACAACCTAAGACCTAAGAAAATTTAGAATTTTTCTAGATTTTAGTTTGTATTACCGCATATATATTATTTTCTCGTCACGGATTCTTTGGTCCGAGCAATCAGTTTAGTTGGGAGCGATTTTCTGAGTAATCTTTCATGCTTGGGAATGATATCGGACACGAACAAAGGTTTGGAAATCCACTCGGAGGGGTACAATTAATACAATCACCGAATCTATATAATACACATTCGCTATGTCGCTAAGTCATCTGCTACGCATATGGTTGTAGTATTATATCAATCTTCTGAGAAACCTCTGGATAATCGATGCCAAAAAAAGACCAATGAGCATTTATTCATAGTATTAATAGGACTAGATTTCTCTGAAATTGTATTAGCCATGTCAAGACCCTTCTTT